CATCCCAGCCCGACGGGCGTCCTGGCAATCCGCTCCCAAAGGGCACACGGAGGTGTCTCCACTGCAGCTGATGGGAGGGGACAGCATTACAGGAGGGTTCATTTTTGTTCCCTGCATTCCTGTTCCACATTCAGGACATTTTCCAACACTTATCACCATACACACCTACCCTCAGAAGGTTTCCGAGGGGCTTCACCGAGGGCCTTCGCAGGTCTGCTCTGTCTGGAGCCCTCCAAGTCCTCAGTGCCTGCCTCAGGAACCTCCAGACCACTCACCTGCTTACACAGGAACTTGGTGCTGCTTGCCTGCTGCCTCACTTCCCTTCTTCCTTGGTTCTTCACCTCCCTTGGTTGCTCCCTTTCAATCCCTTGGCTCAGCTCTGGGCAGTTTCCAGGCTACATCCCACTGCAAAAAGGATTAGCCCTTGTTACATCTCAACGCTCAGACAGCATTCCCCCTTTTTTCCTGTCACTGGGCCATTAGGCCAGTGTCTCATTATTTAAAGCAGAGTTTGACTCCTCACTGACACCAACAGCTACAGCCCTGAATCCTAACACAGGCTGAGACACAAACACGGATGGGAACTCTTAAGGATCCCCTTTGTTCTGCTCACCAACCAAAAGGAGCTTTCCTAACTCAAGAACAAGAGACCCCCAGGTCCTTTTGCTGCAACGTCAACTGCTATAAATGTGACCCACAAGACCTGGAAAGGCCCTTTCCACTTCACCTGCAGGGGCTGGCAGTCCCACCACTCGACACGGACCCGGTGGCTGGGCAGGAACGGAGGGGCTGGGGCGTCCAATCCATCGGCCCAGGCGGCACCAGGACTTCCTGCAGTTCCTGCAGGGGAGAGCCACAAGCCACCAAAGGACTGGGAAGATCATTTGAAACTTTAATATGGATATCTCCTGGAAGATGGGGAGTTTGACAAGGCCTACTGGTGCAACAAGGACACGCTCAAGACTACCTCTAAAAGGATCTACTAGCACTCAAAAGCTATCGCTACCCTTCTTTCAGGGGGAACTCACAGGAAACTCTCTTTGCCAAGAGCCTCCAGGAGGATTTCCAGCTTTTGGGGCTCCCTTTTAACTATTTTTCCCATCACTGTAGCTGGGACTGTCACCTGCCCTACAGGGGGAACAGCCCACAAAGTTCACTTGCAGGGATGCCGTTAACTGAAAGTCCCTTGTCGGGGGGGTCACTGCACACCTTGTCCTTTGTTTGCCCTCCCCAGCAAAGGTGCTGCCAACACTTCTGAGAGATCTGGCAGACCCAGAGCTCTCCTCAGTCTTACCACACATCCAGAGGGAGCAATCCAGAGCCCACCTCGTCCTACCATTCCCAGGAAGGCAGTTCATGGGCTGGCTGGGGCTCAGGGAGGAGTCACGTGGCTTCTTTTCTTCCTTCCCACTTTCCGGATTTTCCCCCTCTCAAAGGAAAGGTTTCTTGGCTTTCCTTGCTCAAGGAGATGCAGCAAAGGCCATCTTTTCAATCTAATACTGGAAACTACTCCAGGTTGTCGTTTAAGGGGCTTCTCTCAGGTCCTGCACTAATCAATCCCCTTTGCCACTGGTTTTCTTGGCAGGTTCTTGCATTCACGTCCTACAAGCAAACCATGAGGAGCACATTCAGCTGTTACTGCAACCAAGCCAAGCTGGCACTCTGATGTGAAAGGATACCGGCTTGGCCTTACCAGGAGAGATCCCACATTAGGGGGAATACCTACAGGTTCCGCCCTCTTCCACTCTCCTGGAATTCCACTGGCCCACACCACAGGAACAACCGCAGCTGCCACGTCAGTCGGGACCCTGCTGCTGACAGGAGCTATTCCCTGCACAACAAGAGCTGCTGCTTTGACACATTTCCTTTCAGCAATTACAGTGTCAATAGCCCCAGTTTTCAATTTCATTTCTGCCTCAACTTTTCCAGTCCATCTCTTCCTAGCACAGGTTTGGGGGAGTTTGGCAAACAGACAAACTCGGGAATCACCCAATAGTTTCCCAGTTTGACACCAATCCCCTTAACAGTGCCAGTCCTTAATTCTCCTTCTGTTGTGTAAAGGACTGAGGAAGTTGGACCTGTGTCTGACCAGGACACATGCAAACCAAATGCTGGGGACTGGAACACACACCTTGCACTCCTGGAGCTCTCACAGTTCTATTCCAGAGAAAACAGCCAATTGTACCATCCCTGCTCAGTTCTTAAGCCCAATCCCACCCTGCTTTTGCAGTTGGAGCACCACTTTTATAACCCAGTTACAGTCCATTAGAGAGCTCCACGTCTAGCAGGGACGGGTACACCTGGGACACTCTCAGGAATGCCTGAATCCATTCAGGGACCTTGCTTTGAGCTCCCCAGGGCCGGGCACCCAGAGGATCTCCCCGAATAATCCTTTCGGTGCGCGCTGGAGTCCTCGGGGTGCCCCAGCCCGGGGGGCACCAACAGCACTGTCCCTCCAGGGGGGCCCAATTTGCTCCCAAAAGGGATTTCAAGAGTCCTTCTTTGGAACCCACCAACGTGGATGGGTAGGAAGCCACAAGAAGGCCTCATTTATAAAGGCAGGGGGATCTTGCCAGTGTCCCAGACTGCTCCGGGGATCCGAGGCCCTTCCCGAGAAAATCTCGGTGCCGGCGTGAAGGCCCAGAGATCCCTTGGAGCCACGGGAGAGCAGGCACAGAGTCCCTGCTGGGGGGCCAATTCTGCTGCCTGAACTCAGCTCTCCAGAGAAGCCTCTAAGACTCAGCTGGTGAGGTTTAGAAGCCAGGCATTCCTTGCTTACAACACCCTGCCACCATCCCAGCCCGACGGGCGTCCTGGCAATCCGCTCCCAAAGGGCACA